GAATGAGATACATTGAATAGGCGACTATGTGACAGCTGGCATTTTTTCATTATTTTAACAAAGAATTAACACGCCGACTGATGCTAAGCCCTTAAGCTGCTTGAAACGAAGAGCAAATATTTATTACTATTTGAGTACGCTTGTTGATTATTGCGACAGATTGGGACCATACAGTCTGTCAGTTAATAAGGTCATGTAATTTTCAGACGTATGTAAGTAAATGATTAAGCAATAGTTATTTGCATATTTTATGAAATACAATCTTTGGAGTCAAAAGACTTTTCCATTCAAACATTGAAGTATCACCTCAAATAAACTCCTACAACGAATCAGTAAATTGAATGCTATTGGTTATCTGCCAAAGTTCGTAAAAAGGAAATCAATAATTTTGATTTATTGAAGAGAACACCTTAAAAAGAACGCAAAGACCAGAAACGATTTGAATGAGCTGATTTCTGGGTGCTTTAAGCCCAACAGTACAAATTGGTACATGAATTGCTATATGCGAAAAGTTCCTCTAAGTTTTGATATTACAAGCGCGATACCAACTTATTTCAAACTTACACCTAAAACGATGCTTGAAATAGATAGCTAAAAGTAACTCTTGACAAAAAACGAGACCACAATGGTGTATTCGAGAGATACCCTAAACTAATCCTGTCTTGAAGCCTTGGATTAACTTTACCAATTGGGATAACGTATATCCTTTTTTAACAACAATGTAAGCTTATTATAAATCCAGATAATATTGGTTTTTACCTCTGTTATAGTGACGGTAGGCTTCATCTGTCCTTGAAAGCATACCTTAATTAGTAAACTGGAGGCTTACAAAATCTTCCTAAGTATCGAATAGGTATTTGCTGTTATTGGCTTTTATATACTAGGCAGATGATTGGTTTTTCTATGTGTTTATGCACGTCGCTGACAAGTTCGTATTGAATTAAAAAATAGCCAGCTGTAGTATTTGAAGGAGCGAAAAATTTCATTAGCTAACTTCGGGCGAATGAAATCTTTCATAAGGTATGAATGAATTTTAAGCAAGCCACTTACTTCTTTCACTTTCATCTGTTGAGGACCTAAATACAACTTCATCATTTGTGTTGTTTCTGAAAACAAAAAAACAAATAAAACATCAGTTAGTCAAGAAATCAAGAGTTTAAGGACATAATAAAAAGAAAAGTGATCATTTGAATATTTCCGAATAGAGTTGAAAAATTACATCGTATAAATGTCACTATGATCTAATATAATTTATCTTATTTGCATCTTATACTTATTAAAAAATAAGAAGCAGATTACAAAGTTATGTCAAGTTCAATTGAAGTAATAATATTTCAATTTCTCTCATTTATATATATATATATATATATATATATATATTGGAATAATTCTTTCACCAATGTACGCGATGTACAATTTTCCTCTCTGATGTCTTAATCGAACAGCTTTTACGTTATTGGCTTGCTTTAAAAAAGATTTCTTTAAAAGAAATACGCTTTGCGAAACATTTTGTGACTAATACTGACACAAAATCTGAGGTACGAACTATCTCAATGATGATATTTATCTGAGTGCTTGAAACTATTCAGATCAACGAATATCTTTTCCTTGACAACATAAAGATTTATATTATTATTGAAAATAAGGCTTAGTTACAATTTTTCCCAAATTAATGGATGACCTTGTAGCTTGCACCCATTTTCCAAGGAAGCTAGACAATAGGCCTTCTTTTCGTCTCCTTCTTACGTGGATTTTAAGTGTTTTCTAGCGGAAGAAAGAATTTACCAATTGATTTTAAGAAAACAAACATTAATATATTCACACAAATTTGCTAGTACTTAAGGCAATAGAATTCAATATTGCATCGAAATTTATTTCTTTTTCGAATCGCATTCCAGCTCACCGAAATTTTCCTAAAAGAATCCGTCAGGCATCTATATTGAAATTCAACATCGCAGTATGAATGAAGATTATCAATGTTTTTTAGGTGGAGGCTAGCTTGATCGTCAGGGAATTCAAAGATTGCGAGTTCTCTGAACATCAATTCATGTATATCTATTGGAGAAACCCCGAATTCTGTCACTGCCAAAGTAGTGACAGAAATCGGGGTTTCCCTTAGAGGATGTTGAAAAAATTCTTTAATAAGCTCAAAAATTATTTTAAAATGTCAGAGTTATTTTATCAACTTGTTTTCCACTTAAATTTTCTAAATAAATCCGCCCATATTTTGAGATTTGTAATCAAATATACCATAGGGAAATTATTGTTTTCGGGGATTTCTTTTCATGCAAGTTATCTTGTAAAAAATACAAAAAAACAATTGCAAGTACACTTAGTATCAGCTAAATTAAGCCACAAGAGACAAATAAAAGTCATTCTTTCCAAATTCAACCACAATAGAAAGGCATGAAGGAGAATACTGTCTGCAAGAGATCAACAGGTGTAATTAAGATACGAATTTCTCATCTCTTGTGAATCATAAGACCCATGATCTTAACATCTTTCCATCACTGTCAACTTACTCTGAACTAATTTTCAGCTAGATGGGGTGATTGGATTATTCTTTGCTTCTATCTTTATAGCAGCCGCTCTTTCTAGTGTTAAGAAATAGATTTTTAAAGACGAAACTGTCACCATTATAGTCTTCCATAATCAGTTTCTTTTCATGCTTTTAGAAGAAATTAAGTCAAAAGTTGATCCATTCTGAACCTCAACCACACTTGAATAAAGTCATAATTTTGTCCATCGAGTATTGATTTTCTACACCGGCAACTGAATACCCAAGCCACCAATGAAGTTGCTAACACGATGTCTATTGGCTGATCAGGTAGCCAATAATTTTCAACCTATTCAATTTTTTGTTAACATCATTACTTTCTGAAAAGGTATTGGATTGAAATGTGAATCTTCTTTATTCTCTTTAGAATCTAACAAGGTATGAATTTAAAATAAACGAGATTTCAAACGTTGCCTTAACTGAGACTTTTGAAGTAGAAAAATGAAAAAAGTTATCTTATTGATTTTTTTTCTATTCAAATTGCCTCACCGGAAAGTTAGCATTTAAAATGTCAACTTATCTAAATAGACACAATTAAAGTGAGCTTCACAGCCTTACACAAGAACTAGGAATGATTTATCTCTTCCTGCCGTCATAGATTTCTGGGCGGGGCAATATAAGGGTTGTTAAAAGATCTACTCAAGAAAATTGTGAAGCAAATATGCAAATATTCAGGCCGCCATTTTTCCTTTCCCAACAGCAAGTCGCCAACTCTGTGGTAGGTCTTGATATCAACGTGAAGCAGGAAAAAACACAACAGGCACTAAGTTTCTGTCGAAATATAATAGTCATCGTAAAAAACTGTAATCCATTTGGAAATCATCAGTAAGAGACAATACCGAACTATTTAAAATTCTATTTAGTCCCATCGGAGGATGGAAAGAGGGATTAAGTTGCGATTCGCAGGAATATGCTAAAAACTTTGTGAAATTTATCTTTTAAAATATTCAAAAATTTTGAAGTTAGTGAAAAGCTAGATCGAACTTATAATCAAAAGGATGGAGATGAGTAGTTTAATGAACGATATTGACATTTATATATGTGAAATGCAAGATGAATGAGAAATGTATTGATTCCCCAATTCCCTGATCACATGGTAAATAATTGTCACTAATAATTACCTGTCAACTATCAACCTACTTGTTTTATTTAATTCATCGAAATTAGAAAATGGAGGAATGCACAGTTTTATTTCACTAAAAAGATTTATTATTAATGATGTTCCGATGAATTTCATTCGTCCACAAATTACCTTAGAAATTGGACACTTAAAAAATAAATACCAGATTAATAGCACGGTTGATTCATTTAACTCGATTTGATTAATAGCTACAATAGCTTTTATGGAACACACTAAACAAGGATAAAATTTGTCCAACGCTCTTGTCTACTTTGTCTAGTGGTGCCTTATTTTGAGCAAATTTCATTTCAAAAAAACATTGACTCTAAAATATATATGTACTAACTTAAATTGCTCGCCAAATTATCAATGGGGAAAAATTTTAATTTAACGCAGATCAAATTCTTATATCATTCGAATAACTTAATTTTATTGATCTAGCAAAATATTATTTAGTTTCAGAGTTGCATCTTTCTGATTGTTTAATGAGTTAAGAATCCGCTTAAATATATTTATAAAATACAAAACGTTTGTCAGATAGGGGCAAAAATAGTTCAAATTTTGTACGTAAGCGAATATTCAAAATTGTCACTGATAGAATCGATGCATAACAAACAATTCAATGGATTATTTCACTCACAATTATTGGTAATTAATTTAAGTCAAGCTTCTACTGGTTGGTGCTATATTTATTTTAATCTTAAATCAGTGCAGTTAATTATTTTAGTCGTTATGACTACTTTCGTTCTCGTCCCAAACAACTATCACGTATCACAGTAAAGCATTTTAAATAAATATTGTGATATTATTCAACCTGTCAACAAATGAAACTGGCTGACATTCGACTTTTAGTGAATTCTTCAACTTATTTAAAAGGCAATAGAAAAAATGTGCCTATTCTCTTACCTACAACTAACAAACATTTTTAACTTAATGTCCTGGAGTTACCGAAAAAGTATTAACTGAATCTCGATAAACCTGTAATTCAATGAACTGGAATTTACTAAACCACCGATACTGACAAACATATTTTGAAAACTTCTACCCACAATAAAGCCCTATTTGTGAGAATTCATATTTACCAGAATGTATACTTAAGTGCAGTTAAACAAACACTCGTTCGAATTCTTATCTATCTATTTCATTTTATATTTGTATTCCTTGATTTTAGCTGATAAAGCTAAAACAACCAATTACATATGAAAACCTCTCATAAAATCACATCTTTTCTCTTATATCTTTCAGTTAGCTTCTTTCATTCAAGGTTACTTCTATTAAACGATAGAGTTCACAATGGGTCAACACATTTTTAATAAGCTTGACTTACATGGGTATGATAATCTCATCCTCCTTGGGGACAATGGATGTCGGAGAGGAACCGAGAGATGTGACGATTGTGAGAACATCTTGTTCGACGTCTGACTTAACATCAACAAATTCCTCCATCTGTTTAACGTGTTCTTCTTCTGTTGGTTGATTGACGTGGTAATATGATGGCCTTTTACGATCTTGCAAATATGACCTGGCATTAAACAGGTTCACTAAACTAGCTGATTTTGCTAGATTCTTTTCCTTCCCACATATTTTTTCAACTTCTGTACTACTAATCGATACTGGTGATTTAATAGTCGGAAGTGGTATGAACTCAGGAACAAAGAGTTCATTTGCTGAAGTATAATCGAATCTTTGGCTCATTTTATCAGTTTGCTTTACTGCTGATGACAAAAGATTATCCAACGAGTCTGTAGATATAATGCGATCCGACGACTCAAATGACTGATTCATTTTTGGAAAATTTTGGAATTCATGCAGGTTCAATGCACTCTTCCATCTAGGAAGGCAGGATTGTAAATCCAAATGCGATTTGGTCAAGTTTGGTAGACTTATTGATGAAAATTCCAGCAGATCATTTAAATCCGACACTTCACTAAACAGCGAAGAGGATGCGTTTTCTGAATTATTTATTTCATAAGCAAGCTGGGTGGTCCGAGCGGACTGATTAAGCGTATGTTTGGAGGAGTAGTATGATGCTTCATAATCAAGGGCATTAGAAGTTTCACACTGACAGGTTCGATCTTGAACAGTCTGTCTATGGTTAGTGGCTGCTGGTAGTTCTGATTCTTTAATTCCTTTTGGTAGGGAGTCAAAGAGACATTGTGTACCTCTTTTTACTCGCTTTCGATTTCTAAAAAATTCAAAACAAACTATTACTTAAACAAATCAGTAGCATCCATTTTTAACCTCGCTCATAAAGCAGATAAGGCCATCTGTGTTATTCGACCCTTGGTAGATGAAATATAAAACATGTGCAAAATTAGGCGACCTTCCTCATTCATATTCATTTCATGCTTGTGTGAGCATAAACCAAGGCATAACTAAATTGACGAAATTATTATTCATTTAAAGTAAATATCATGCAATGGAATACTTCTTTGTGAACCACCTTTAAGCCAATAATGAATTCAACTTAAGCCCGAAAAGACTTGACCAATTTCGAGCTCATTCCATTGCAATGTCCAAACGAGTGCGCTTTTAGTACATCCACCGATAAATGTGAAATAAAGCAAACTTAATAATTCATTTTAAAATTTTAATAAAGGCCTCGATAAAAATACTCTAAATAAATGAAATGTCTAAATATCACCAAAACACTCACCACAAATAGATAAACTGCTATTTAATATGAAGAAAAATGAAAGATAACCATTTAACTTCAGAGATTCTGTTTTAAATGTCTTAATTCTCATCAAGTTTGATGGCACAAGAGGTTTGAGATGTTAAAAAAATATGACAATTTCCAAAAAACTTAAACGCATGCAACCAAAAATAATCTTTATAGACTTTCAAGAAATAATGCGATAAACATTAAAATTGTGCATGAATTTTACTGTCTAGTAATGTAGCTTTGTTATGTTATTATAATTGACAACCCGGGGTGCACGATAGACTTACCTCTACGTGGTGCACCCAGGGCAACGTATACCCATACGGCAAAAAAGTCTATTAACTGACAGTTGACTTTTGACTTCAAACTACCCTCACCCCTTTGTATGTCATATTTGACTACTTCCACACTACTCACCTCATCTTTTTCCACTTTTGTGTCTGTCTCTTTTACATCTTCGAAATTCTCTTTTGCTCCCCCTCTCCCTCTCGGCTTGTTTCAATTTGATGTTCCTTCCCCCTGTGAAGCCTGAAGTCAACTAAAGGGCTAGTGATGACTTTCCCAACGCCTGCCATTTGATATATATTGATAATTGACAACCCGCCATGACAACCCAGTATGGGGAACCTGCGTTACCTGCGTCAGCTTCATCTCTACTTTCACTGAATTGCATGAGGGAATCCAGTATTTTTTTCTCTTTTCCTTTGATCTTAGGATCATTAAATTTGAGTGAAATCGAGCTGATAATTAGGTGGCTTCGGAGCGACCATTGAGTTATACCAAGATTTTCTGTTAACGGATTAACACCGCAGAAAACGCAGTCGATTGTAGCGGGAGGGGTTAATTGTATGCCGTAACGGACTATTCTTAATTTTCATTGTCTTCTTGAGTAGTGATGGCTTCCTATTAGATTACTTAAATACTATAACAGAACTTTTTTTATCTAATTATACTTCTCCTTCAAAATTTTGAGTCAAATAACTTCAATATTTATAGATCGTGAGAAAAGAACCTGTTTGTAACGGTGGCATATTTTCAAACAATTCAAGAACTCGAAATGAATGTAACTTATGACCTACTGATGCGAATTCTTTGCAGAAAAGATAAAGAAACATGAAGTCATTCAAACACGGATATATTTTGTTCCGATATGCTAATAATGATGACGGGGAGGGGAGAGGAATAGCAGCATAAAGGTGATTGGTCGAATAAAAGAAATCCCTCGAATTTGCTAGATGATGTCATTATTCTACATAAAAATATTACAAGACTCATTTGTTACTCGCATTGATAAATAAATGTATACAACCATGACAGGAAAAGAAGACAGAGGTTAATGGAAACAATTGAGAAGAGAAGCAAAAAATAAACAACTACAAGAACTCAGTTTTCTGTCCACTTAACACTAGTAATCAATAGATTGGTGGGGAAAATTCAAGATGACAAAAGTAATTCCAATTACAAGAGAAAGCCAACTTGAACATAGAAGCTAGAAGATAGAAAAATCTTTGTCAATATCTCCTTAATTTCTTATATTTGAAAAAAGGAAAGAATAGGGAATTTTTTAATGCTAAAATGTTCAATTTGAGCAATACATCAAGTGGTCTAAAATGACGACGTCTTGAATTTTCAGGCTTTTTTTTAATGAGAAAGCTTTCCAATTACGAATTTTACTTGCGTATGTAGCAAATTAATAAATTTTAAAGTATTCGAGAAAGTGATTTCGAGTTCGAGTGTGCTTAATATTCTACGCAATAAGACTGATTTTGTAACCGCTCTTTGAGACACGAAGATTTGAGTTAGCCTTATTGGTCCATCTAACCGCTATAATTCGTACAATATTATACATCTTGAACTCGTTCAGATGCACTCCGGCCAGAGTTTTCCGGATTATGCAAGTAGCTTTAATGCGTGATAGATGTACCTCCACGTGGTGAACCCTGGGCAACGAATGCTCATACGGCAGAAAGTCAATAAACCGACAGTTGACTTTTGACTTCAAATTGCCACGACCTGACTGTATGCCATAGTTGATCACTTACATGGAACTCATCTTACCCTTTTCTTTACCATTATGTCTGTCTCTTAAACATCTGTGAATCACTCTTCTGCTCCCCCTCTCCTTATCCTGTGACTTTGTCTGCTCCTCCCATCTGTGAAGCCCGAAGTCAACTAAAGGGCTAATGATAACTCCCATATAATCTGTCATTTGATATAAATAAATATTAAAGTATGCTCTATTAGAGTCAATGAGAGTTCAAAAAATTATAATTTTATATCATTTTCCTCAAACGCATTTTTAGTAATACCGACAAACGCATATTATAAACTCCTACAGTAGCAACTCTGCTGACGCGAAATCAAATCAGAAGTCACATTTTCCGAGGAATAAGTGGCCAAGTTGTGTGTGATTACCTCATTCGCTGTTTAATCACTCTCAAAACGACCTCTTCAATAACCGATGCACACGATGCACATTTTACGCTCTTTTCTGCGTATTCGCCAAAGGCAGAGTGCATAAGGTTCTTTTTTCTGTCCTCTCGCAGAAATTACCAAAATATTTCGGGTTTTGATTTAAGAAAAATGCTGTTAAATAATATACAGAGGAAAAATATTCTTCGTTTGCATGTGATCCGACTCATTTAAGCAACATTTAGAAAGTAGCAAGTTTAAACAAAGAAAGGATGAAAAATATTTGAAAATTAACTTACTTATTTTCTCGCCTACGATTCAAATTATCCGCGCTGTGATGCTGGAATATATTAAAAAAGGGAGAGGCAATTTTAAAATAGGGAGAGCAAGTTGTGAGCGCATATATAAATGAAGGCGTGACTTCAGCGACAATTAACTCTTGTGGCTTGGGCGATAAACGTGCATAATTAATTATTATTGCTTTAAAGACGCCCTAAAAGCCAATCTCAGCTGATTGCAGCTTATTAGTAGGCAGCATTCAGAAAGGCAGAACGTTTAAATGGATTTTGGCTTTGATGAGCCTTTTGTTAAGTGAAAATTCTTTTTCATTTTACTAAGGTGGATTGAATTAATGGAGAAAAGCCAACGATTCACATGCATAATAAAGCCTATAGGTTCTGAGTTAGTTAATAACTGACTACGATACATAAATTTGACTCTAATTTATTCAAGCAATCTAGAATATGGGCCCAAGTAATGAACTAGATAGTACTATCATAGTCAAAACGAAGGTAATAATCTAATTCTGAGCCAAAAAATGTACAATCACATTTAATACTTTAATCCAATGTTGGAATAGTTATGCGTCAGTGAATATTTGGTATATGGGGTGTGCGATAGACTTACCTTCACGTGGTGCACCATGGCAACGTATTCCCATTCGGCAAAAAAGTCTATAAACTTGTAGTTGACTTCTGCCTTCAAACTACCATGACCTCACTGTATGTCATTTCGACCTCTTCCACAGTACTCATCTTACCTTTTCTCTGCCTGTCTGTCTGTCTCTTTTACGTCTTTGAAACACTTTTCTGTTCCCCTTCTCCACTTTTCTCACTTTGATGTCCCCCCCCCCTCTGTGAAGCTTGAAGTCAGTTAAAGGGCTAATGATAAGTATCATAAAACCCACCATTTGAAGTAAATAACTATTTAGTATATTTGCTAATTCAACTGCCTTCCCCCTTCAACTGAAGTTATTGTTCAACAAATTTCAAAATATCACAGACGCCATCTCATCGGGACTTCGAAAGATCAAATCAAATCAAATTTTTGGAGCCTTTGAAAAAGTGAATTACTTTGGTGGTTCTTAAATATGACTTATCTCCACCCCTCCCCTTTCTGATGTATTTTACTGCCTTAAATGTTTTGATGTCTTTTCATAATTAGTATTGTTAAATAAATTTTAATTTCCATGAATAACAAGAATTCGTGAAAAGGACCTATTTTTCCCAAAAAATCAATAAGAGTATAAAATTCACTAAGGAAAGTTTAGCCATCCTTCCTCAATAATTGATAACTTAAGCTAATTTGTTAATATTGGTAACTTATTTGATACAGTAATATTAAAGTTTGCAACAAAATACGTGAAATAATTACCAAGATGTCGTCATAAGAGACTTGCAATCCTTTTTGTCGGTATATCTGCATTCGTGGCCCTCTTAAATTTGGATTTACCTAAAAACAAAAAAAACGAATAGATGATGGGGTTATAGGTGAGAAAAATCCCACTTGAAAAAAGCAAATTTCCGTTCAAAAATCACTCGTTTGATAAGGCAATAGGAATTTCAAATAATTCAATTAAATCAATTACAATTATTGATTTTGTAACGTAACATACTTTACTTACTTTGCTATATCCTCCCATTTGTACACTTAGACGATTAAATTCTTCCAATACTTGATCCATATACTTCCTATTCGTTTCCTATAGAACAATTAGATGACATTAAATCAATAAAGCCTGCCTTATTATTGATGGGGTGAGTTTTAATAATCTTAATTCGTTGGGCGAAGCGAAGAGAATGAATTGTCTCATGTAGACAGAGTTCCGACGGTGAAACGGCTAGATGAAGATATAAAAAGAATAAATTTTACCTACTG